ATTGATCCAGCGGCTGGCGGTCCGATGGGGTCCGCGGCACGGCCCACCACGTGGTGGCTGAGGCGGGGTCGGTGCTGGTCACGTGACATGAGAGGTCATGGTGGGTGTCGGGTCACGTGACTGGAATGTCATGTGTTGGGTCACGTGATTGGAGAGGTCACGGTGGCTGTTGGGTGGGATCACGTGACAGGAAGACCGCGGTAGATGTTGGGTCACGTGATCCGGTGATCATAGATGTTGGGACTTGGGTCACGTGACTGGAGAGGTCAGGATGTTTGTTGAGTCACGTGAGTTGGGGGTCACGCATGACGTATGTTAGGCCACGTGACTAGAGGGTCATGGTGCATGAAGGAACTAGGAAGCGCAAACTTCGGCATAGCTTTATCTGAAAACCACATGATTATAGCTTCAAACTACTTCCTCAAACGGTTTTTCCTGCTCGCCATTCCAGCACGGCGTTGAGCATCCGGTAAGCCGGAGACTATAGGCTCAGGATGAACGGTCAGCGGCGGAACGTGTTTCTATTCTGGGCCGTATTCCCGGTGGGTATTACGTGACCACGGAGCCGCAGTGACCGCTGAATGGCTGACTCGCCACGGAGGTGGTTTACTGGAGAACGGAGCGAGTGGAGCCACTGCGGGGCTGTGGATGTTTGCGGGCTTGCGTGAGCAGGTTGGAGCTCGGGCCACGGTAAGGCGAGCGGCAGGTGCGGCCTGCCGCCGGCCGGTCGGTCGGCCGGTCAGTGCGGTATCACGGTATCGTACGCGGCACTGCGTCACAATAAACTGCGCAACGGTGCCAGGCAGTAGTTAACCGGCCCCGGTGGGGGCAGGACAGGGGTGAGCGGACTAACAACGCTCACACCGTCCGGCTGAACAGTGAACACTCGCCCCATGTCCGCCGACTGAGCCCCGGTGGCCCAGGACTGAGCGGATGAACACTGTTCACACTGCATCGCCTGGCTGAACGCTCATGCTCGTCGCACTGGGGCCGGTGTGTTAGAACATGGACGAGCGGATGGGCGCCACTGAACGCTCATGTCCGCTGGGACCGGTGGTGACGCTTCCACTGAGGCTCATTCAGCTCGTTGTGGGCCGGCCTCCGGTTATGAGAACAGGCGATAAACCGTGGCGAATGTCGCACTGCATGCCAGTCGATTGCCAGTACTCCATGGAAAGTACTATTGAACTTCCCTGTCATGCAAGGAAATAACAAAAAATGTGTATCGTTTTTAAATACATTGATTATAAACAAATAAAGGTATTATTACAATTAATTTCGTCTCCGCCCAACGCCCACGCTTATCGTTATACAGGCAGCCATCCAGCGTAACTAACAGCTTTTGATCTCCTCTCATGTTGCTCGACGACCGGAATGCAATATCGTTACCTCCCAGCCGTAATAATGCACTGGCCGGCGCCTGGAACCCTGCTCTGTTCAGTATGTAGGTGTTGCTGACTGGGCGGCGGAGGCTCGCAGGACGCGCGCGGCTCTGGATCCCAGCGTCTGTCCGAGCGGGCGGCCAGACAGGGCGGGCCGCCGTCTCACTAAGTAATGGACCGTCAGACCAATGCTGGACGGCACCCGTCTGATGGGTGCGGGCTGCAGGCTGACAGGCTGAAGTCACTGGAGACACCCTCCAGATGAGTGACACCCGTGACATGGGCCGACACCTTTGACACGAGCTGACACCCCCGACACGATCGACACCCTTCGGACACTGGTGACACCTAGAAGTGACACTGAAGTGTCCCAGTGGTGTCTGTGACACAGCTGGCACCTGCTGGTCCATGGGCACCATGTGGTCAATGTTCATTAGCAATGTGTATAACCTCAGTCTCAGCATTTTTGGCCTGTGGGCTGTGACGTGGCCGTGACTCGCCCCCAGGGCTGCGGAGTCGATGGATTTTCGGCGACTCCGACTCCGACTCCGACTCCGGCTTTCAAAAACCAGCTCCGACTCCGACTCCGACTCCGGGCAGAATTGTCGACTCCGACCGACTCCAACTCCCGACTCCAACTCCGCAGACCTAGCAGGGCTGCGGAGTCGACAGATTTTCGGTGACTCCGACTCCGACTCCGGCTCGGGTTTCTAAAATCGACTCCGACTCCGACTCCGACTCCGGTCACAACTGTCGACTCCGACCGACTCCGACTCCGACTCCGACTCCGCAGCCCTGCTCGCCCCTGTGAGCTACCGCAGCCCACAGCTGCCTCCCGGCTATGCCGTGCCGCGATTCTGTCCACGCCGTCCTCCCGGTGATAAAGGGTCTCAATGGGACCGTCTGCCCCGGCCAGACGGGTGGAGAGGACCCCTGGGACGCCGGCCGGGTCACCAGGCTACCAAATCACCGCGACGGACGGTTTTGGAGACGACGGTGATTGAGATTTTTAACCGCGACCAGAATATCCACAGTCTGAAATCGTGGCCTCACCAAGTTAGAAGTAGAGGCTGTGGCTAGAAGTAGAGGCTAAGAAAATACCCTTGTTAGCCATTCTGGTCAATGGAGATATGCGAAATGCGAATGCATACGATGGATGTATCGATTTGTAGAAGCAATATTCATTGGAAATAGCGGAGCTGCGTGCCACCCACACCTTCCCGGTGTTATTTGCCGGGTGATTGGATCCATACTATCTATCCACTCTTCATCATCTGGAGCTTTCAGCTCGGAGTAATGGTGTGGGCTGCGTCTGCCACCTGAGACTCCGCGCCGATCTGTGCTGTATTGATCTCTCGCGTATCGCTCTCCGGATCCCATCCCGCGCGCTGTCCACCCCCACCCCCACGCTCCCCTCCTACCCAGCCCGAGGAGGCACGACTCCCGCGATCTGTCAGGGCTGTTGGCTCTGGCAGCACGGCCGCCCTGGGGGAGGCGTCACTCGCCACCGCTGTCACCCATCTGCCGCGCGGCGCCGGATGTTTTCTCTGCGGCGGTCGCACGAGACGCAGCCGGTTGGTGACGGATCTGCGGCCGGCGGCGTCGGCTCGTCACTGGGCCGAGTTGATCACGACCTCCCGGCGACAGACTCGCTCCCGGACGGCCCGGACTGGCACCGGGCGCTGATCCATAATGCATCACGTGCCGGGCGCGCCGGCGAGGGGCCGGGTTCCGGCGCGCCCGGCGGACGGCGCCGGGGCCTCCCCGAGCCTACGGCGGCCGACATGCCGCCTGCAAGGTCGCCCTGCCGGTCCGGGCGGCGGCGGGGGTGGGTGGATCCGGGCGGCGCAGTCGTCTCCGGCACCGGGAGCCGTGCTCGCTCCCGGAGGCGGCCCGGATCCACCCGCGCCCCCACCATCTGCATAGGGGGACGATACATATAGGTGGGAGGGCCGCCGCCGGCGCCAGTGTGGCATGGTGTCGCGGTGCTGGAGGTGGTGTGGTGCTGCTGTGGTGTAGTGTTTATGGTGTTACCATGGATGACGAGGAACCACCACCGCAACAGATGACCGGTAGGTGGGCGCCGCGCTGACAGGTGTCATCTTTATCCACGCACTTTCCCGACGGTGGATTTGGGGAGAGTCGGTTCGTTGGATTATAGCTGCTCGTCCCGTGAGGTGGATTATAGCGCCAACCAGTATTTTATAGCATACTATCTGCAATAAATGTAACTGCATTAGCAACTACGCCGCCGTTCTCTGAGCCGCAAAATAAGCCTGTGCGGTTAGTCTGTCTGCTGGAAGTGATTGCGCCGGTTTCGTGATTGAAGGGTAGAGCACCCGGTTTGGTATGCTGCGGCGGTTTTCCGCGGCCGGAGCTGCTCCGGCCAGGCTGATGTACCGTCTGCGGTCAGCAGCCACGCGATCACGTGCGATGTGTTCGACTGAGAGGCTTTGTCAGAGCGGTATATTTGTCCCAGTGGTTTGGTTCCGTCCGTCCGTCTGCCGTCCGTCCGCCTTCTACGTTCCTTTATACTCGGTCCGTCCGTGACGAGTGTCGGCCAATCTGACCATCCTTCTGTTAATCTCGTCAGCTCTGTCACCGGCACTCGTCCATCGGACGGAGACGATCCGGACTGGACGTGCCGCCTTTTCAACACCGCCCTGTCAAGCTAACAGAGGGGCGTCATCGGTCACCCCTCAGCGATCGCTGCAGCCGACAGCCGGCGCCGGCAGTGACGTCCGACGCCGCTCGACCCTCGTTATACAAACAGCGTGTGGGCGGGGCGCGCTGTGCTTCCCCGAAGCGGCGCTGCCGAGAGCCCGAGGATGGCGAGCCGCCTGTTTGGCCAAACACCGCCCGACGGTCGGTTCGCCGTAACCGTGACAAGTCGGTTCGACCGAATCCGTTCGACCGGTTCGACCGAATCCGTTCGACCGGTTCGACCGCCGACGTCGGCGCCCGGCGGTGTCCGCGCTCTTTGTGACCTTACTGGTCGGGTTTGAATCGACTTCACAGAAGCGGGGTCGCTCATATGGCGCACAAACAACGCTCTCAGGAAAGCGTGTATCCTGTCTGAAACGGAAAACCATATGGGTGACGGCCAAAGGTCACTGCGCCACCTGTGAGCGACGGGAAGATCAGGTGCCATCCGCGTGACACTGGGACCAGTGAGCTGAGCCGGATTGCCATGGCATCATTTGCTGGTGCTGCACTAATTCATTTTCGTTTGGGTTTCGTCCATCGTACCACTACCGACCACCTTTCTGGTAGGATCTGCTTACAATCTGTCATTCACCTATTCTAACCCTCTCGCTCTGTGACTTGTTCTGGATTGAACCCTGGTACACTTCAATCTGTCTAATCCTCTGGATACTCGTATATCTGCAATCCTATCCAACCGTACCCTTTGACCCTCAGTATTCCATTACATGGTATAACTTACATGTCACAAAATGTGGACTATGTGACCCTGTCTGGTCCTTTGTAGCCTCTTATAATCATCGATGGCTCTCTGCCCCCCCCCCCCCCCCCATGGCCCTCACTGACTGTATTTGACCACGTATCTCAGTCTGACTCTACGTGGCCCGTTCTGACCGTGCCTTCTTTCTGTTTCAGACCGGGAGCGGTACGACCCGCGCCGTTTCCAGGGCCAGGGCGTCACCTTCAAGGGCAAGCTGATCGGTGTGCTGGCCGTGGGTGAGGCGCGCGGCGACCGCATGTGTCAGGACGCGCTGGCCGAACTGAAGATGGCCATCCGCGCGGCCGGCGAACACAAGCAGAGGATCGTCATCAGCGTCAGCATCGACGGCCTCCGGCTGAGGGACGAGCGATCCGGGGTACGTAACAGGGCTCCTACTGAGGGATGAGCGATCCGGGGTACGTAACAATACTCCCACCGACGGACGAGCGATCCGGGGTACGTAACAATACTCCCACTGAGGGTCGAGCGATCCGGGGTACGTAATAGGGCTCCTACTGAGGGACGAGCGATCCGGGGTACGTAACAGGGCTCCTACTGAGGGACGAGCGATCCGGGGTACGTAACGAACGATCCGGAGGACGTAACATACGGCCTGCGACTGAGGGACGAGCGATCCTGGGTACGTAACTTCGGGCTGAGGGACGAGCGATCCGGGGTACGTAATAGGGCTCCTACTGAGGGACGAGCGGTCCGGGGTACGTAACTGGCGGGCTGAGGGACGAGCGATCCGGGGTGCGTAACTGGCCGGCTGAGGGACGAGCGATCCGGGGTACGTAGCAGGGCTCCTACTGAGGGACGAGCGATCCGGGGTACGTAACAGGGCTCCTACTGAGGGATGAGCGATTCGGGGTACGTAACAATACTCCCACCGACGGACGAGCGATCCGGGGTACGTAACAATACTCCCACTGAGGGTCGAGCGATCCGGGGTACGTAATAGGGCTCCTACTGAGGGACGAGCGATCCGGGGTACGTAACAGGGCTCCTACTGAGGGACGAGCGATCCGGGGTACGTAACGAACGATCCGGAGGACGTAACATACGGCCTGCGACTGAGGGACGAGCGATCCTGGGTACGTAACTTCGGGCTGAGGGACGAGCGATCCGGGGTACGTAATAGGGCTCCTACTGAGGGACGAGCGGTCCGGGGTACGTAACTGGCGGGCTGAGGGACGAGCGATCCGGGGTGCGTAACTGGCCGGCTGAGGGACGAGCGATCCGGGGTACGTAGCAGGGCTCCTACTGAGGGACGAGCGATCCGGGGTACGTAACAGGGCTCCTACTGAGGGATGAGCGATTCGGGGTACGTAACAATACTCCCACCGACGGACGAGCGATCCGGGGTACGTAACAATACTCCCACTGAGGGTCGAGCGATCCGGGGTACGTAATAGGGCTCCTACTGAGGGACGAGCGATCCGGGGTACGTAACAGGGCTCCTACTGAGGGACGAGCGATCCGGGGTACGTAACGAACGATCCGGAGGACGTAACATACGGCCTGCGACTGAGGGACGAGCGATCCTGGGTACGTAACTTCGGGCTGAGGGACGAGCGATCCGGGGTACGTAATAGGGCTCCTACTGAGGGACGAGTGGTCCGGGGTACGTAACTTGCGGGCTGAGGGACGAGCGATCCGGGGTGCGTAACAGGGCTCCTACTGGGGGATGAGCGATTCGACGTACGTAACAGACGATAAGGGGTACGTAACGAAAGAGTCGGTTCGTAACTGGCAGAACGGGAATACGCATGTCCCCGAAGGTACGGAGTTGGTGGTTTACATGATTTAAGATCCGGGATACGAAACCGTTGTTGGCTCGAGAACGTAACGAATGACCGAGGGTAGCGTATAGGGCACCCAAGTGTCCGAGGACTGAGCGTGATTTGGTCACCTCACAATGACTGCAGAGATGAGTGGTGACAGACTGAGCGAGTGGGTCGTGTGTTGTGGTTTGGGTGTCGGGGTTGATAGATTAGACAATCGAAGTGATTGACGAAGGTTTGGACATGTCTTGTGGTAAGAACGGTCATCAGGCTAGGTTCATGTTGATAAATGCGGTCAAAGTTCCGGTTTATGTAAAATGTTATCCTCTTGACATTTCTACGACAGGAGTGCTACTATGATTAGGTCCTCAGGGAGCTTCGTAGGATTTATGGCGCTTAAAATGATAATACATGTTCCACCATCAGTGTAGTGAGAGGATAGGGGCAAACTCTCGGCTGAATGATGATCGTAGTGGCTACTCCGTGGGCCACTAAGATAGTAAACAGGGCCATGCGCAGCGTAGGTCTATAGCTATATGGCCGGCTGCGCGACGAAGATAGACCTCATGAGCTCCTAGCCGACGCCGCGCTACTCAGACACACTTCAGCTCTGACAGCTCGGTGGGGAGGGGAGCAGATTGCGGCGCGGCGCAGCCCAGAAATGGCCGGCGTCAGCTGGTTTTCAGCTGGTTTCCATTAGTTATTTCCAGAGCGTTTTGTGCTGGCCGAGCTCCGGCAGCAGTCTGACGAAAAAGTCGTGACCTTTCCCTGACGACCTCTACATCAAAGGCCGCTCTCTGCGCTGCTATGTTATACGTTTGCAAAGATCAACGCACTCTCCTGGGAAATAGCCGGATTTAATAAGACCAGTAAAACGCCTTATGGGGCGACTAACGGAGCGAGCGAGAGGGTGGGCCTTGCACGTGCGAAATTGCGAGGGGGTACCTCCAACTGACTTGTGCACGGCACCCTACTAACCGGTCTCTAGCGATGTGCCGAATTTGAGCACAATCGGCCCAGCCGTTCTCGAGATCTGGAAGCGGCACCCTGCACGTGCGCACGTGCAAAATGGGTCCCAACTGACTTGTGCATGGCACCCTACTTACTGCTCCGTAACCGTGTACCAAATTTGAGCGCAATCGGTCCAGCCGTTCTCGAGATCTGGAATCGACCCCTGCACGTGCGCACGTGCAGCAGCACCCCAACTCTGGCACATGGATATGCATTGCCTAGTGGGTGCCTACCTACATGCCAACTTTCAGCGCAATCGGCCAAGTAGTTACCGAGATATTGCAACAATTACAAAAGTGACACCTCTTCGTTTTGCACGTGGCACGTGCATAAGGGGTCACCTACATGCATCGGGAATAGTCCAATACTTGGTAGAAGGAATGAAGCTACCCTACAAAAATTACCGCGTGTAAATCGGTCAAGTGGTTGCTGAGATATAAGCCTCGCAAAAGCGTGACCACGGCCGGCCGGCCGGCCGGCCGCTCATACTCAGAAATTTCCGTTAGTTAATCTAAGGAAAGACTACGCTCGCTTCGCTCGCTCCGTAATAATTACCAGTATAGCGCCTTTTGGGGCGACTAACGGAGCGAGCGAGCGGGTGAGCCTTGCACGTGCGAAATTTCGAGGGGGTACCTCCAGCTGACTTGTGCACGGCACCCTACTAACCGGTCTCTAGCGATGTGCCAAATTTGAGCACAATCGGCCCAGCCGTTCTCGAGATCTGGAAGCGGCACCCTGCACGTGCGCACGTGCAAAATGGGTCCCAACTGACTTTTGCACGGCACTCTACTAACCGGTCCCTAACCATGTACCAAATTTGAGCGCCATCGGTCCAGCCGTTCTCGAGATCTGGAAACGACCCCTGCACGTGCGCACGTGCAGCAGCACCCCAACTCTGGCACATGGATATGCAGTGCCTAGTGGGTGCCTACCTACATGCCAACTTTCAGCGCAATCGGCCAAGTAGTTACCGAGATATTGCAACAATTACAAAAGTGACACCTCTTCGTTTTGCACGTGGCACGTGCATAAGGGGTCACCCACATGCATCGGGAATAGTCCAATACTTGGTAGAAGGAATGAAGCTACCCCACAAAAATTACCGCATGTAAATCGGTCAAGTGGTTGCTGAGATATAAGCCTCGCAAAAGCGTGACCACGGCCGGCCGGCCGCTCATACTCAGAAATTTCCGTTATTCTACGTACCAGTATAACGCCTTTTGGGGCGACTAACGGAGCGAGCGAGAGGGTGAGCCTTGCACGTGCGAAATTTCGAGGGGGTACCTCCAGCTGACTTGTGCACGGCACCCTACTAACCGGTCTCTAGCGATGTGCCAAATTTGAGCACAATCGGCCCAGCCGTTCTCGTGATCTGGAAGCGGCACCCTGCACGTGCGCACGTGCAAAATGGGTCCCAACTGACTTTTGCACGGCACCCTACTAACCGATCCCTAACCATGTACCAAATTTGAGCGCCATCGGTCCAGCCGTTCTCGAGATCTGGAAACGACCCCTGCACGTGCGCACGTGCAGCAGCACCCCAACTCTGGCACATGGATATGTAGTGCCTAGTGGGTGCCTACCTACATGCCAACTTTCAGCGCAATCGGCCAAGTAGTTACCGAGATATTGCAACAATTACAAAAGTGACACCTCTTCGTTTTGCACGTGGCACGTGCATAAGGGGTCACCCACATGCATCGGGAATAGTCCAATACTTGGTAGAAGGAATAAAGCTACCCCACAAAAATTACTGCATATAAATCGGTCAAGTGGTTGCTGAGATATAAGCCTCGCAAAAGCGTGACCACGGCCGGCCGGCCGGCCGGCCGCTCATACTCAGAAATTTCCGTTATTCTACGTAAGACTCCGCTCGCTTCGCTCGCTCCGTAATCATAGCCAGGGAGGGAAAATAATCGCATTTTCCAGATGAACTGACTAATTTGACGGACTGGCACTCACCTGTGATATTCCACTCAGCTGCTGTATCTACACTGATTAGATTTTGCCGTCATCAGGTTATATAAGCGCGTACGAGATTGAATAGCCAGGAAACTGGCGTGCCTTGGGGATTGGTGTGTTACGGTATCTGCCTGATCCGGCGGACCGCTGCCACCGGGCCTCCCCGGGACTGGGGCGCCGCGCTGCCACCGGTTGGACGCTGGTGCTTCCCCACTGCTGTGGCGCTGCCTGTTGACTCCCGCCGGCTGTCGGTAATGCTATCCGTCCGCTGCTGTATGGTTGTCGCTGCTGAATGCCTGTGAGTGACACGGGCGGGAACTACTCAATGCGCTGCAGTACCGAAAACAACTCTTCTCACAACTCGGGGCGTCCCCGCTCCGCCTCTCCCGAGTTGCGCATCTGACGGGTCAGCATAGCGACCAGCCAATGTCCTCCAGTCGCCCTACCCTCATCTCGCCCGCTCTTTTGACCAACCAGTGACCCCCGACCCTCTCCTCTCCTCGCCTCACCGGGTCTGCCGAGCGCCAGTTCTGCGACCGTCTGCCCCCGCCGGCCACCGCAGCGCAGCCCCCATTGAATTTCACATCATCTGCAAACTTCAGCGCCCATAACTCGGGGGAATTGCACTGCCAACTTTCCTTGAGGCGTATTCAACGCTTGGGCGGGTTTTCCCATTACAAGGCATCGCCGAATCTTCCGTCTGACTTCCCAATGTGGCCCTAAGCGTGTAAAAATGTTCTCTCTCGTTCACTGCGGACATCAAAACTTTGAACTTGCTATCGCCTTAACGTCATTAATTTTTATCGGAATACTAAGCGCGCTAATCGGCTTTACACAAGGGAAGATATGTTTTCTTTGGGAAAGCATGCAAATAAAACGGTATGACACTCTGGCTTATCTTATACGCTAGTTTGATGTATTTCAGCGAGCTTACTAGACATTGCTTGTTTACTAATCGCATAGCTGACAAGGCGAATTAGGTAAGGCCCTCCAAAGCAACTGGTTCTCACCAGAAGCAGCATGCCTTTACGATCAATGTTCCCATCCAGTTGCATCGGCCCCGTGCCGTCTCTGCCGGCTCCCCCTGGAGTCGGTGTGCCACTGTCGGCGGTGGCTGACCGGTCTGGCGCGTGCCGTCCGTCCCTACCGTCTGTTCAGCCCTTCTGGCCAGCCCGTCTGGTCGGCGCTGATTGCCGGCCTCATTAGAGACGGTCTGGTCACCGCACCAGGCCAGCGGCAGACGTGACAGGGTGTCTGGAACACAGACGCGCCTCTGGCCGGAAAGGGTAGTGACCGGGGCGGCTGGCCGACGGCAACAAATAAGGGAAACGATACACCGTCCTACCCTTGGTGAACCCTGCAGGCGGTGTTTGTGGGGCAACTAATTGGGCGCCATGTGTCGCAAATATATGAATATGTGTTTGCATTGCACGATACACAACACCATCGAAATGTAAATCAATACTCTATGACCGTCGGCGTTTGCGGCGCTGATAAATGATTTTGGGAACTTGGCGTTTCGTGACTCATACTGACCTTTGCGTACAATCGTTGATCATGACGGATGTTTTTGTTTCCCTCAGGACTGCCTGTACCACCACCCGGTGCACAAGATCTCGTTCATCGCCCAGGACATGACAGACAAGCGGGCGTTCGGCTACGTGTTCGGCTCGCCGGACACGGGACACCAGTTCTTCGGCGTCAAAACGGAGAAGGACGCGGGACAGGTGGGTGTGGGATGCTGACTGAGGCTAGACCGGCCCTGTGCTGCGGGTATGAAGCAGGACACGGGAACTGATAGCTCAGAAACGGCTACAGCTGAGGGGTTTGGGTGTGATAAAATACGTGATGTGTTTATATCAACCGTCAATGGCATTGCAGTGCTCGAACCTGTGTTGGGTTGATGTGATTTGTTATGTGAATTGCTTCAAAGTGCCTGCACGGCGCGATTGCGCGAGAGACAGTCCATCTGTTTGTCTCTGAGCCCGGTCTGTACAGCACAGACAGTCCGTCTGCCCGTCTCGGCCCGCTCGAGTGAGCGCTGACTCGGGTGGTCCGTACACAGCTGTAAACGCAGATAGGGCGGCGTTTTTTTGCTCGTTTGTTGGTCGGTTCAGTGTGGTTTATAGGTGCGATAGTAGCCGGCTCGACGGCCGGACAGGGAGCTATCGGGTGGTATTGGGAGTGTCCGCCGGCTGCCACCGAGCCGCCGCTCTTACTGCTGATAGTGGCTTCCGGTAGATGGGGGGGGGGGGGGGGGGCGGCACAGGAGGCCTCTCAAGTACCTGACAAAGTGTACCGGTACTAGAGGTCACAGCGACGGCACGTGTCAGTCGAGATCACTCCAGATATAACTAGTAGTGTGCGGCGCGTTATCAGGCGCTGCCTACTCATTCGGTACACTACGTTCCAACCCAGTAAATGTATGTTATCACATCACTTAAACCATGATATGTCTCTCATTACTTCTGGCCTGGAATTGGAATTGTTCTACCGTCACTGCGATTCCGGTTTCCTGGGCCCTCTCCTGGACATTTATCAGGGAAGCCGTCTCGTTCCGCGTCAGATTTATCGCCTGTCTCACGCCAGGGTATCGCTCAAACCCACTCGGTTCCACTGACATCCTACCACCGTTCCCAGGTTGTCATGGCAATGCGCGACCTCTTCCAAGTCGTGTTCGAGCTGAAGAAGCAGGAGATGGAAAAGAAGAAGCAGCGAATAGCTGAGGACCAGCAGCGAAAGTCGGGCGCCACCTCCTCAGCGCGGGTAAGAGCCAGGGCTGTTTTTGAAAGTGAGGATCAGCGCTGTTGGAATGGTGTGGGGTAGGGCTGAGGCGGAGGACCATGGTTATCTGACGTGAAGGAGGGGCTGAGAGCCTGAGTTGCCGGTATGGAAACTGTCCCGATTACGTGCCTCCCGCTGTTTTATTACTGCCTGAGTGAGGTCTGGCCGCCGGCGGATTCTGCCTCCCCCGTGTGTTCTGTCTTTCCGGAGGTGTGTCTCTTACAATCTTCCGGTCGCGAGTAACGGGTGTATGTCACGCGTTGTATTTAATCTGACACCTTGGGACTCTCCGCGCCGGCTCTCGGCGTGCCCTAAGGACCCAGGTGTGCCGGTCGTGACTAACCCCCGGTCGAAACTTTCCGTCGACGGCGGCTCGGCGATCGTTTGCCTGACTCAGAGGCGTATGTGCGCTGAGTCATTCCACTTCCGGGCGGGCCGAGCCGCGGCGCACGACGCGGCGGTACCTGCCGCCCGGCCGAGGGGTGGGCGCGGCCGGTTTACGGCCCGGCAGTTCGCGGCCGGAACCGCTATCGGTCGTAGTGCCTCCAGTATCTCCCGATGGTGTCTCTAATCCACCGTTAGATACCAGTTAGCGTCGTTACTGCGTTAGCGTATGCGTTACTGCGTTAGCGTGTGCGTTGCAGCGTTAGCGTTACAACGTTAGCGTTAGTATACCCGAGCGTTGGATTCCTCGCTCTCCAGTGACCTCTCGCGTCCGCGCTTCGTTACAGAGTTCCACGGGCAAGTCGACCAGCCACGTGACGGGCCCGACGTGGGCACTGGGCAAGTCGGCGCTCTCTGACTCGGTCTCTGGACTGTCGGTACACTCGGGCCACAGTGTGGACCTACTCGACCTGCAGATGGAGATCGAGAACATCGAGCAGGGCATTAGCCAGGTACGGAACGTCGAGCAGGGAGTGAGGGGAGGGGGTGGATGTGGTTTGCATGGATTGGCTGTTTTGATAGCAACGGTATTGTAGCGCTCCCACAATGTCGCTTAATCAAGACAAGGGCGCTCTGGCCTGTCAAGATATCACGTCACGCTGTACTTGTTTACAGTATATAGCTTGGCTTAGTATGGCGCAACTAATACGCAGCTGTTCTAAGTAAAGCGTAGCTACACTAAGTCTTCATTAAGCTACGCCAATATCCTATCCCATGTCTCTGCCCCACCCCGTCTTACTGACATCCCGCTGTGTCGGCAGATGGACCGCATGTCGCCACCGATGGAACCCGCCGCCGCCCACGCCCCCTCCCCCGCCCCCGCCGCCGCCGCCCACCCCGCTCCGGCGGCGGTCGCCCGCGGCTCTCCGGCACCGGTGCGAGCCGCAGCAGCAGCAGCGGCAGCTGCCGACCCGTTCGGAGACTCATTCGTACCGTCCCCGCTGCTGTCCCGGCGCGGCCGAACCACCAGCTCGGGTGGCAGCGGCTCGGGCGGAGTGCCCGTGGCCATCGCGCCGCCTCCGGCGCTGGCCAAGAGCCGCCACAGCTCGTCAGGGTCTGGCCGCGGCGCCGGCACGCCGCAGCCACCGCCGAGCGTGCCCAGCGCCACCGGCACCCCGGCGCACGCACCGGTCAGTAGAGGGGGGAGGATACAGGGCGCTGGGAGTGGGCTGGGAATGAAGTAGAGAGCGGATTACGAGCTGTTGCATGGGTAGTGTCGCTGCTATTTTCTCAGAATTCATCATGCGGCCCATGTTCCATGCTATCGTGATTTTGCATGTGACATCCTCAATCCTCATAACTAGTCGTGACAATTAATTATCTCACTCAGTTTTTTTTTATCTTGTGATGGTAATTTTGTTGGTTGTGTTTGGTGAAGTGAATAAGACTTGGCCTGACCCCGTGCTGCCCTCCCCACAGGTCGGTCACACGGAGCCGGACCCCACTCCGGCCGTCGATCCGTTCGACCTGTTCACCGACCTCGACCCCCTCGGCTCCGGCAAGGCCAAGCCGTATGTCGACAAAAAGGACTTCTTCTCCGACCTGAAGAAGCCCAAGCCGCGCCTGGACGGCCTGGCAGGAGAGGTGGCCCCAGTGCCGCCTGCGCCGGCGCCCGGGCCGCAGGGCCGCCGGCCACTCGACAAACAGACTCTGATGGAGCTGTACGAGAGCGAGGAGCGCCGGAAAGCCGAGAACTCGTTCGGTGATGACTTTGCCACGGCAGTGAACGGCAATAGCCAGGGATTCGAGTCGAGCTTCGCGGAAAGTGGTGATCATTCGAGTGCGATAGCGGCGGCGCCAGTGGCGGCAGCGGCCGCGCAGCCGCCGGCCGCGTCGGCAGTGACTTTCAGCACGGATTTCTCGGTGTTTGACTTTGACTCTCTGCGGACGGAGGCGGCGGCGGCGGCCGGCGGCGAGCCGGAGCCGGTGCGTGCCGACAGTCCGCCGGCGTTCTCGCCGCCGCCGGTGCCGCTGCCGCCGCCGCCGGGCCGGCCGCGCACGGCGGCCAGCCGCAGCGGCAGCAGCAGCCCGGCGCTGCTGCGCCGCGGATACCTCAAACAGACCAGCAACGGATCGGACACGACCCTCTCGGAACCGGAGCCGGCCGAGCCGGCGCCCGAGCCGCCGCCGCGGCCGGCACTCGTCCAGCCGCCGCCGCTGCCGCCCAAGAAGGCGCCGCAGCATGTGGTGATGAAGCCGCCGCCGCGGCCGCCGCACACAGAGGCTCGCTGGGACGTGGCGCCGCCCGGCTCGGTACCGCCACCGGTGGCCCAGGACGCGGGCGCGGCCGGGTCGCCGCCGCTGCCGGTGCCGGCGCGCCGCCCCCGCGTGTCCCGGGAACACCCGGACCTGACGCGCGCCAGCAGTCTGGGCGGCGCCGCCGTGCACAGGAAGGCAGCACGCGAGACGGCCAGCCTCGGGTTCAGCTCCTTGCCGCCGCTGGTCGGCGAGACTGGCGAGGCGCCGCACCCGGCTCCACCGCCCGTCAATCGCCACACCAAGGACCGCGGCAGGTCGGGGGCGCCCGCGCCGGCTCCCGGCCCGGCCGCCGACGAGCCGCCGGCCGCCGCCGACACCCTGCCGCAGCAGCTGCAGAGCACGAGTCTGGTGGATCTGGCAGCCAAGCTGCACATCTCCGTGAAGCGGCTGGGCCAGATGTCTGTGATGGAACTGGCGGCGCACATGGCTGCCACGGGCACCGCGCCTACCCTGGAGTCGGCAGCGCCACCCGCCGAACCCCCACCGCCTCCCCCGGCGGAGGAAGAGTCGCAGGAGGAGTCACCCAGCGAGGAGTTCAAGTCGCTCTCTCCCATCTCCAGCCCGGAGGTGTCCATCTACAAGAGCCCGCAGCTGCACCGGCGGGACCTGGAGCGCGGCGCGGCCGTCCGCTCGCCGGCGGCGCCGCTGCGGCCGGTGGATGCGCTCTCTGCCGTGTCTCCCGCAGCCACGCCGTCTCCGGTGCCGCCGCTGCTCGAGACGGTTGATGAGGACGTGTTCGCGCGGTTCGACGCCAAGTTCCCGCGAAGTCCGGTGGATACCCCCAACTCGCCGGATGACTTCCACTGTGAGTTTCCCGAACCGTCGGCTGGCGTGGGACATACCTCCCCTGCGCCGGCACCGGCACCGCCGGCCGCGCCACCGCCCGAGCCAGAGGACAAGTACGCTGTGTTCCGAGAGCTGGAGGCAGAACTGACTGGTGAGAGGCACCTGGCCAGTGCCGGCAGCGCGCCCGCCTCGGACGATAGTGAGGCAGAGCCGGACACGCTCGGCGCGGACCCGTGGAGCGCCGGACCGTCTCCCGCGCTCAGCAGTCACAAACACACCTTTGACGACGATTTTGGCGCGTCGGGTGAGCCGGCCGCTGCCGATTTCGCGCGGTTTGACTGTGAATTCGGCGCGACGGCGGCGAGCAGCTCTAGCGCCGAGTGGCCTCAGGAGGAGGCGCCGGCTCCGGCCTCGGCCTGGGAGCGGCCGCGGCCCGGTGGCGGCAGCGGTCGCTCGGTGGGCTCCTCTGCGGGCTGGCCACGGCCGCGCGCCGAGTCCGTCCAGTCGACCCAGTCGGTCCAGTCCGGACCGGGCTCAGAGACCAGCTGGGAGCAGCCAGCGCGGCCCGACCCGGACCCCGGCGTGTTCAACGCGGCCGCCTGGGGCCGGCTGAGCGGCGACGGCGACCGGTTCGAGCCCCCGCCGGCGGTCCGCCGGTCGGCGCCGCTCCACACTCAGCACAGCCAGTTCGACAACGACTTTGTGACGGCGACCGAGGAGCGCGGCAGTCTGGCCGACGAGGTGTCGTTCGAAGAGCGACGCCGCTCGCCGGCTGTCGTCGACGATCCGTTCACCTCGACCGACCCGTGGGCGACGACGTCTGAGGTGCCGGCGCCGGCGGCCGCGCCCTTCCCGGCGCCCGCCGTCGATCCGTTCGCCGACGACGAGTTTTTCCAGTCGCCGGAGGGCATTCAGAGCGACCCGTTCAAGCAAGATCCGTTCGAGCGCAGCTGGGCGTCCGAGTTCAACGCCACACACGCGCACCAGCAGTAGTCAGGTACGGGCGGGGGTGAGGAGGGGAGGGGTGGAATTGGGTCCATGGGAAGGTCAATCAGGGAGGAAGGAGGGAGGAGCTCAGGTGTGCGTGGGTTGCGACGCCGCTTTTCGGCTGGCAGAGCAATGGAAGTCTGCGGTAGCCGGTAAGGTGTCATTGTGTCAGTAAAAGTGATGCTGTGGTGTATTGACGAGTCATGGTTTTGCTGTCACAACACTGCTGTAATATGGCACGATATTGCAAATATTTATCGCGAGTGGGTCACAATCACAATCGGATTGTCTCGGGGATTTTCACATTTTTTGTGGTCAATGAGTACACTTTGAATCAATTTTAAGTGTTCAGTTACATTGTTCATCAATCAGTGTTTACATTTACATGACAAGTGCATGCATGACATATTGTGTTGTTGCCTTTTACTTTACTGGTAACTCTGCCGCAATATCAGAAATATATATGTTCATGAAAATTGCGATTCTTTCGCCAAATCGAGCTGTTCGACGAGACAAAATAAGTTGAGTTGCAAATGTACCCTGATTGTGGATCACAGGCGGTCAGTTACTCGATGATCTTGCACTGCCCCGAGTAATACCGCTAGTAACGCCGCGTCTGACTCTCAGTAAATGCTGTCTCCCCCTTTGCAACGCGGCAGGATGCACTCATGACGCCCGTATGTTGGCATTGGCCGATAGGGTCGTGTGGGAGGCAGTAAACGTTCTGCTGTCTATAAAAGCTGAAACAGACTCCTTCCGCAGTAAGGAAATCACACGCGAGAGCCTTTTCAAATACATTATATCACGCTCGCATCAGTGGTCGCAATCGCACCTTTCGCGTGCGATTGATGCGAGCAGATTTCATGTATTTGAATAGGCTCTCACATATAGTTTCCTGACTGCGGAGTCTGTTTCAGCCTTAAATGTGGGGGTCCTGTTCTGTTGCCTATTATGTCGCGCTTAGGACATTCGTGTGTTGATGTCGGCAAGCCTGAATGATGCATCATCAGTTTGTCTGGTCCACTGCCTGTATCTGTACTCTGTATGCCTGTCTGTCCTGTTAATCTGTAGCTGTTTGTGGTCGCGTTTCAGCCGGACTCTGGTCTGCCATCCGCCGCGGCCTGCCCCGCTCGGTCGTCTGTGGACAACGGAGGGTCGCAGCCTGCCGTCACCGATCTCAGAAACTCATACTCGCGTGTACCTCTTCGTACAAACTGACAAGTCATTTTCTCATAGCTGCTCTTGCAACTGCAGATCTGTTCATTGTGATAGCGTCGCTCGGGCGGCGCGCGATTGGACGTCGGCCCTATGACGTCACGCGTGCGGCGGCGGTGATTGGCGGCTCGCCGGTGACGTCACGCCGGCGGCGGCCGGTGATTGGACGCCGGTGCTCCGAGTGGACAGTGGTGCTGTGCTAGTGTCCTGCGCACCCGTGACACTGTGACGTCATCATATTGTGTGTGAGTGTGCGTTCGCGCTCGTGCGGTGACGTCATCACCGCTTGGTAGCCACTGTGTGGACGCGGCGCCTGCTCGTATCGTTTATGCTGTCTGACTAAATACTAAGCAATCCAGTGTATTTTGTGTTGGGGACTTGTGCGCTTGGCGTTTGTTCAAGTGTCCACGATTTGCCTTCTTTGAATGCTTCAGCCAATATAACAGCGGTCATGTGAGAGATTGTTTGTCCATAATTTCTATGATGGACTGATGAGTGCGCGATTCACATTTATATTTTAAAGCAGGGGTTCATGTATGCACCTATACGCTGACCTGAGATATCATAGATATTAGTGGTATAAAATGAGCTGAAATATTGTCTTCGTGACTGAACGACTGAACGTACGTACCTAGGCAGGTACTTTAACTCTTGTGCAATATGCAACTTTGATGGTGAGTAAGAAGGGAAATTCGTCAGTGTGGAGGTCCATATTTGCGTAACGTACGCAGACATGGAAAGGTCGCATGGGGGTGTTCATCGGTTTCATATCAAACATGGTCCACACGGCACACACCGCCACAACTCACCCTTCGTGCAGAGTCCAGAGCACGCATCTCCTTTTGGCGCACTATCGCTACCTAAAGGTATGCTCGTATACAGAATTTCGTCGCACGGTCTTCGGCGAACATAAAGATGTAATAACGATTAACGCCCTCCCTCCCTTTGCATGGCTCCTTTCTGTCTGAAAGTAGGTAGGTACTCTGAGTTTTATATGTATGTATCAATATAATGCAAGGGTACCTATAGTTTTCTATATACTCTACTATGAAGGCTTGAACGTCATGCTCAATTTATTGCTCTCCTTTAGACGTTACAACTTAGGTACTTTGGTAAGAATGTAGTATGTACCTTATTTCGGGCCCAAGTAAGACCAGTTGCTAAGAATTGCAAGCAGCGCCTTTTATTTATCTGTCAAATACCTACTACTAAGAATTATTGAAAGTTGTTCTGTTGACTCGGTCTCGGAGCACGGGTTCGTCCACTTGACTGTGATTTAGACGTGACAGTAAAACTTTGTTTGCTTTTTCTGCATGTATTTAAAAAATTTCGCTCTTAGCGCAATGTGTGGTATTTTTTGTAACCTTGGTGGGGGCGACGAAAGCGCCGCAATCGGCAATCAATCAATCCATCCCCGCGTTCGATGTCTCCCGAGCGACGAAGATTCTACGTCATTCGGCCAATCATGTTCCATAACCGCAGCCCAGCCCCCGCTGACCTTGAACGTGATTGGCCGGACGACGTAGAATCTTTGCCGTCCGAAAGACATCGAACGCGGGGCATATGTCTTATGAAGCGATGTTTAATGTCAAATGTTAGCCTAGTTCAAGATTCTTGGCCTAGGTTATCTTTGTTTTCTTATTGCTCGATTCCTGGCTCGAAACAGTAAAAGATAAATTTGTCCTTGAATCGGTGCAGCGGCGCAGAGTCAGAGTGGGCTCATGGCTTTTGTGACAGGAACCCGCCAGCTGAGGGTACATCATGCTGGATACTTGTATGTGCGTGATTACTACAAGGAGAGCTGTGACTCAACCTACTACAAGTGCTCGCTGGCATCACATTCTACAAGGAAGTGTCATGGCCGGGGTAAAGTACGGGGCGCAATTTATGTGAATGAGTTTGAGGTCACTCGAGAACACAACCATGAGGCTGATGTGCGTTATATGGAGAATGGGACGACCAGAACAGTCATGAAACAAATGGCAGAGATAAAAGAGGAGTCTGTGAACAAGATCATGGTGACCACTCAGCAGCAGCTGTCTCAGTCTAAGTCTGATGCCACCCAAGCTGAATCTGTCTTGCCGAGAACCTCTGACCGCATCCGTCACTCCAAGTCCAGGCAGCAGGTAACTGCCAACTTCTGCAGACTGGTGACTGCCAGGCTGACCTGGCAATGCCAAATGCCATGAAAAAGCATTTCTCGAGGTATTTCATGTATCTAAAATTGTATACTATTTGCATTGCTCTGCTGTTATGCCTTATGACAGCGAGCAGGTTTAGGGATATCAAATTGCTTAAAACAACTGATGACATATACCCAACTGATTTATTCATTCATGTATTCGGTTTTCCTTTATATAACCATTGCCTTTGAATGTGATTTTCAAATTGAGAGGCTGCTTTCCTTCATGCACCTGCTTATACACAGATGTTGCATGCTAAGTTGTTTGAGTAGAGTGAATTTACATTTCTACAGACCAAAGTTTCATTTTCAACTTCTTGTGCATGTTAAGAAACTCTATTTGTGGCCTTTTCAGTGTGATTTGTCTGCAAACACTGGCAATGATGCTGTCTGGCAGTCTGAGTGGCAGAGCTGGATGAATGCTGCAGAAGCTGATGTTCTGGATGTTTGCTGCAAGGTAGGTGTATCTTGGGTGTATCCAAGCAAAAGTTATGGAAGAAATCAGGGGCTATGCCACGGGGGGGGGGGGGTCACGGGGGTCCGACTCTGACCCCCCCCCCCAATAATTTACTGGGGGGAGGTTAAGTAATCTTGGGGGGGAGTACGGTACCCATAATATTCCAGATACCTATAAGCTTGTTTTCATGATAAAATGTCTAAATCATTCACAGCATGCATTTTGAATGTGTTGATAGTCGTATAGCTAAGGAATCGAATATCTAGAAATGTAGGGAACCCTTAGGGGCGTTCCACGACAAATCGACAAATAAAAAAATAAAATTGCACCCTCATATTTTATTTTTCGTTGAAAACTGGTGTAAGGGGTTGTGATGGGCGGGGAAGCCAGCTGTGGCAAGGATTTTTTTCTTCGAACAACGGTTTCCGAGATATAGCCTCGGGCAATTCCCGGAGGTTGCGCTGCAGCCCTATGTTTGGCGGCCTATAACTAAAAAACTATTGGTTTTCTACGATAAAAACTTAATATGGTTCAACTCACAATCAACCAGCAAACATTTTGGCTATCTCGGATTTTCAATTTTTGAAAATTTTGATCACGTGGCCTTTTGACCTATTTTTCGAAGAGTGACCTTGATATTTTCCCCACTGAAAGTTGCAATTTTGTCTGATGACGATTAAAGCCTTATCAATTGTCATTCATATGCGAAAATAAAAAAGTGGATATCGCCCTGCGTTGACCTCAGGCCAGGTCATTTTTATGACCTGTCCATTATTACGAGCGGGAGCGACAGCGAAATCTCGAGAATAAAGCAAGATAGCGACAAGCGGTAAACGGTGCAGGGTACACACGGATAAGGTCTATAATTTTTACTGAGGTCATTTTCAGGTCAGGTCAGAGATGACGTCACAGGAGCAAAAAGGAAGTCAAAATTGCGGCACTACATATATATGAAGTTTTTCTCGAATAACTTTCAAGGTATCCCAGCTAGGAACAAACTAATATCACCATCGTGATCCTCTCGTCGATCCGCATCGAAACATATGTATGTTGACCTTTCGACCTTTCGAGGTCAACATACATAGGTTTCGATGCGGATCGACGAGAGGATCACGATGGTGCGATTAGTTTGTTCCTAGCTGGGATACCTTGAAAGTTATTCGAGAAAAACTTCATATATGTAGTGCCGCAATTTTGACTTCCTTCTTGCTCCTGTGACGTCATCTTTGACCTGACCTGAAAATGACCTCAGTAAAAATTATAGACCTTATCCGTGTGTACCCTGCACCGTTTACCGCTTGTCGCTATCTTGCTTTATTCTCGAGATCTCGCTGTCGCTCCCGCTCGTCACGTGACCTAAGGTCAACTTTTGACCTTTCGACCTTTCGAGGTCAACATACATATGTTTCGATGCGGATCGACGAGAGGATCACGATGGTGCTATTAGTTTGTTCCTAGCTGGGATACCTTGAAAGTTATTCGAGAAACACTTCATATATATGTAGTGCCGCAATTTTGACTTCCTTTTTGCTCCTGTGACGTCATCTTTGACCTGACCTGAAAATGACCTCAGTAAAAATTATAGACCTTATCCGTTTGTACCCTGCACCGTTCACCGCTTGTCGCTATCCTGCTTTATTCTCGAGATCTCGCTGTCGCTCCCGCTCGTAATAATGGACAGGTCATAAAAATGACCTGACCTGAGGTCAACGCAGGGTGATATCCACTTTTTTTATTTTCGCATATGAATGACAATTGATAAGGCTTTAATCGTCATCAGACAAAATTGCAACTTTCAGTGGGGAAAATATCAAGGTCACTCTTCGAAAAATAGGTCAAAAGGTCACGTGATCAAAATTTTCAAAAATTGAAAATCCGAGATAGCCAAAATGTTTGTTGGTTGATTGTGAGTTAAACCAAAAAAAAGTTTTTATCGTAGAAAACCAATAGTTTTTGAGTTATAGGCCGCCAAACATAGGGCTGCAGCGCGACCTCCAGGAATTGCCCGAGGCTATATCTCGGAAACCGTTGTTCGAAGAAAAATCCTTGCCACAGCTGGCTTCCCCGCCCATCACAACCCATTAGACCAATTTTAAGCAAAAAATAAAATATGAGGGTGCAGGGCACTTGTCGATTTGTTGTGGAACGCCCCCTTATAATGTCGTGACACACGAAGTACTCTCCCCGGTCTACATGGGAGTGTTTCCACCATTCAGCGGCGTCACCACGGTTTCAGAACTTTTAAGCTCTAAGGACATTTTTTCCAGGGCAACGACACAAGCATTTGCCTGAGTCTGGTCGCCAATACCCACCTACACTCAAATCTGCGTTCCTCGTTGGATTTCGGCCACTTTAATTTAAAACCGAGGGAGAATAATTAATATTTATTTGAAGAAAAAAAACGAAGAAGTTACGCGGTTGTAGGCATATCTTCAGATTATGAAATGCGTGCTCACGTCCGTCTGCCTATGCATGTGACACCTTGGTACTTTCATAATACATTAACCCTCGCCGGCACAGGGGGGGGGGTGACGCAACGCCCCCCCCCCAAGGTTTTTCGCGAATAACTCGCGTAAAAAGCGGCCGATAGCGACGAAACTTCCAGTACCCTCGCATTGATCAATTTTACACCTACCCTGAAAATTTCATGACCCTGACCCGAATGACCTTTGACCTGTGACCTACTTTCCGAGACCATGTTTGGCCGGAATCGCGATTCGGCTTAGTGTCGACTCGCATTAGCCGCGCGTTTGCAAGCTTTTCGTAGTTTCAAACGCTCAAACATGTGATTTGCTGTTGCTCCCATGCATTAGGGTGGATGTCAAGGTCACCTGAAGGTCGGGTCAGGTCATTGACCTTTGGTGACCTCGGTTCACTTTTTCGAGTTTTACATGTTTTTAGGCTAGTTTTTGGAGCTGAATTCGAATTTAGCAGCCATTTGAACATTTACGAAGTAGTTTTGGTGTCTTCGTAACATGTAACGAAGCTGTCAGAGGTGGTTGACACGTACAGTGGTCTCTCTCGCGGGTTTTAAGCGTAGGTTTTGCCTTTCTAGCTATATCTTTTCGTCTTCAGCTTTGAAGGTTTGAAGATGCCTGGATGTAGCCAGTCGAGTTCGTTTCAGCAATCATGCTGGGCACCTGCAGAATCGGCTCGGGTGTCTCCTCGGGTGACTGGGAGACAAACTCGACCAATTTCTCGGATGAGTGCCGGCCTCCTTGACCAATTTCTCGGATGAGTGCCGGCCTGCCGTATCCAGCTTTACGGCGACCACACACACGTGCCTGGAGGGTACCGTCACATCCGTAGGGAGGCACACCGCTCGGGGGCCTTTTTATTTACCGTGGCGATGTTGTCGCGACTGTACGCAAGGCAAAACACATGTGTTCAAACTGGATGCGGAGCCGTGGAAATTTCAGACGGCTCCGGCTCCGGCTCCGGCTCCGGAGAAAAAAATCGGCTCCGGCTCCGGCTCCGGCTCCGGGTGAAATGTTATGGCGGCTCCGACTCCGGCTCCGGCTCCGAGTAAAATGGTCCGGCTCCGGCGGCTCCGGCTCCGGCGGCTCCGGCTCCGACTCAGTACATCCCCTATGCAATCAATTAAATACGGGTGGAAGAAAAATTGGATTGGTTATACGCGTTACTCTTTGCCATGACCGGCTCATGACCGCGTCCCCGCGTAAACGCACCTCGGAGAGAACTGGCAGAACAAGGACTAGGAAGCGATGGCATTGGAAACGCAGTCGCCGCGAATCGGAGTTCACTGAACCATCGTAAGCTGACACCCGTCTCGGCAGAGACGGTGCTGGGAGTCGCAGTCCACTGCACTGGCTTGAAAACAATGGCCGTCACCTGATGACCGGTCCTCATGTTCTGGGGATGCAGTAGACGTGGGTGGGGGGGGGGGGGGAGGAGCAGACAGGAAGTTGATTGCGTACTGTGGGATACTGGGGATATTCGGCTTTTTTCATTCACTTGATGGCCCATGACGTAAGAACATACCATATGTTTCACTGCCTTGTACTGTCAAACCGAACTAGGTCAATTATTTTTTTCCTCTTCAAAAAATAAAAAGGAGCCGGAGTCGCCCCCTTTTTTGGCGGCTCCGGCTCCGGCTCCGGCTCCGGTCTATATTGTTTCACGGCTCCGGCTCCGGCTCCGGCTCCGGGCAAAATATGCCGGCTCCGGCGGCTCCGGCTCCGACTCCGGCTCCGGCTCCGCATCCCTGGAAAGAGCTGAGCAAGTTGCGCCATTATCGTGTCCCGGGTTCTTTGCGTCTCCCCAGTAAAGGGAGCTCCAAATACTTCTAGGAGTAGGGACAGTCCCTAGTAGTTTTCGATTATTTCAAAACTTCTAGGGACAATGTCCCTAGTGTCCCTAGTGGTGGTGGTGACGCCCATGCCACCATTGTTGTCACTACTAGGAATGCGTTTAAGATCGTTAGGATTAGCTAGGTATGCTAGAATTTGGCTTTAGTGTTGTGGGGGATGGGGGGGGGGGTCAGCTTGCAGAACACAGACACTAGGTACCTACCTTAAGAGAGCTTCAAGTCGATATTAGAATCCTCTTTCCATGTGAGGTCATCCTAGAGTCTCAGGGGGGGGGGGGAGGGGTCCAAGTCGGTCTTTCAGCGCCTCATACTAGCCTAAGCAGCCTCACAGTTCACAACATCCTGAAGTAATCTGCAATAATCCGCATAGGGCTTTGAATGCAGGTTCATAGAGGTAGGAGTGAACATCCACAAGTTACAACCCCAACAGGATCTTCATGACCTGACCTTTGTCTCTAGTCTCTAAGGACCCACTGCCTAGTGCAGAGTGCTATATGAGGACAGGGCTTCTTCAAATCCCTCCAACAACTGCTAAAGTCCTGCGCTTTCTAGAGTGCGCTATCTAGAGTCTACATAGATATATGAGGGCCTACGTAGGTACAGGGACCCGCAGTTGCTTCTGTACACACTAGTATTTCAGCGTATTCTTGGCCTGTGACACCGTTGGAGG